CATGAACTGTGACTGAATAGAACAGATAAGATGTAAAGTTCTATTGACCTTCAGTTCACTAGATAAGAAAAAGTTTGCCTCTTCTTTTTTTCGCTGTCTTGTCACCGATAAATCCTCAGTCTCTTGACAATCAGCTGTTCCAGCAAACATCATAAAAATTAGTAGCACATTTATCAGTTATTAACGATAGATTTTAGCTTCTAACAGTCAACTTATTATCAGCTTTTTGTACTTTTTATCCTAACCCCCCTTAAATCCGTCAAACCAAGAAACTTTCCTTCTTCTTTTTCAACGAGCATAGAGATGCAGTATTACATTGTTATCCGGCAGTGTTTTGTATGGCACTGTAGCGGTTAAATACCCATCCCAAAACGTGCTTTGTTTCTACCGTCAATCTATCTTCAATTTTTGTATATTTAGTTCTCAACTATTTCTAATCCATCTGCGGTAATATCCCGGTTGTCTTTGTACCTCTTATCAATTTCCCAACGGTTTAGTGCTAAACTTCTTTTGGTCCTTATAGTGTTTAACAATGTGACTTTCGCCTTGGCGAAACAAATGGTAACTACATTTTTTGATTATATGACCTTGCGCTGAGTTCCCTCAAAGCAACCTCTACCACTGTAATAAAGCTCACGATTCCAGCGCTCCTAACTGAAAATGTCGTAAGACTCGTGTCTAAAGTAATTTTCTTGGTCGCTGGCTGCTTTTGTCCAAAATTATTTTTTATAGAAAATTACGTAAAATGAATTTAATTATGAACAGAAACCTTTGATATACACATGTTGGTACGTGTCTTGGGAATCCTTTTGCAATAATTTCCCTGGTCATCTTGTACGATGAGTCAGTAAGTACCATATAAAATGCTGTGACCAGGTTTTCTTGCGCGGTCTGGAAAATAGTTTAAAAGCATAAAAATTGTAAATAGGATAATTGCATGGGGAGTGGATTGCAGAACTTAAGGATTGCGGTTACGAAATGCAGTCACTGTCAGTTACAGAACGCACCACCGACGGGCGCGCGTTATGAATTGCCGTATGGATTGAAACGGAGGTATAGCACTGAACTCTTGCAAAGTTGGCAAGAAAGTGGATAATAAGTCTGAGAGCTTCACTGATTAATCAGGCAAATTTGAAGCTTTAGTTACGAAAAGTGAAGAGAGATTGAAAGTTAAAAAAAAAAAGCATGTTTGGGGATGTCACGCTTAACTGCAGTAGCACTGTTCTGTACCGCCTTCTTAAACAGCAGTTTATTTTTAATAGTAATTCTTTGGCGGAATCCCGTATAATTGTGTTTTGTAATTTTGTAGGTCAGAAGCAGCTGTTGAGAGTCAGTGGAGGCGTCATTGCGATGGCTGATTATAAAGGGCTTGAAAATATCTGCAACAGCAAACTCTGGGTAGTGATTCTAGTATATGTTTTTATATGCACAGCGTTTTTTTCAATTCCATTATAGCAATACCAAGCTCTTACATTTTTGGCTCTTTCTTTTTAGGGGGACGGAAGTCTTGTGAACGACAGTTTTCTGCCGAATGTTAGTGAATGTTTCCGGCATACGGTTCTCGTGTTTGTACCAACTATATTTTTTTGGATTTTATTTCCTGTATTTTTGGCACAAATATGGCGGATTAGGCAAGAAAAGTATTACTCTTTGCCGTGGCAAACGCTTGTGGTGCTTAAATGGGTTGGTAATCTTTAACAATATTACTGAGGAGCGACTGAAAATTATGATACAATAACATGTTATTTTTGTTAACTTTTTGTATGAAAAGGATTTACCTGTTATCCTTCCAGGGTTTGACAATATATTCATTTGTAATAGCAGTTGTTCTATTTGGGAAAACAATTTATGAAAGTTCTAATAATGATGACGTTCCAACTGTCTATTTCGTCTATCCGTTACTTCTTGCGGTAACGCTAGTAAGTGTTGCAAGTATTTTTTCGGCTTTGGAAACTTGAATTTATTGGATTTTGATTTCTTTTGAAAAGTTGCAGGAAAACCAGGATTTCTTCATCGCTGTAATACAATTCCTATTGCACGTCATATATTACGTTTTTAGGCAGGTGTTTTTATCTGTTTGGTTCTTATTAAAATTCACGGGGTAGTTACATCTGGGATATTGCACACAACGTTTGTTGTTCTCGCTATTTGTGGTGTTCCAGAATTTTATGCTTCCATTCAGCACGCAGTGTATTATAAAAACAAGGTATACTTTCGATTACTTATCCACTTTCAACCTTTTCTTTATTTTTAATAAGTTTTCCACTGTTAGAAGTAAAAACTGTTGAAGTTTAAAGCAATGTGCAAAAGTTTGACAGTATTAGCATCACAAATGGCAGATGTCAAACATTATCAAGCTTTGCCGCACTAAGTAGATTATTAAGCTGTGTATCAATCTTTCGTCATTATACTCAGATCGTAACCTAATAAAGCAAATTAAGATTGCGTTTGATTACTGTGAAACCGCACCTTTTGTGGCATGAAAAAGAGAAAGGTGGTCGGTAATGTTGAACAAGGTCTTCAAGGAGTAAGAATGCTGGAATAATTGGTTGAAAAAACATCTTTTAGACTGTCGGCAGCTACGATTACACAAGATGCTGTTTGCATATAGCTTTCTATCCTGCAATATTGGTCATGGCTTTTCTACTTTGCTTCGCAGATCATAAGCAGAAGTGGCTAATCGAAGACCGCAGAAAGAAGGTTTGTGAAATTCATGTTTTAAATTTTCATCACTTCGCTTGCTAAATTGACATCACAAATAACAGTAACAGAATGAACAGATTTTTAATTTTGAAATTAATCTCTCTAGGGACGGTCTACGGAGTTGGAAAGTTCTTTTTTGAACAGAGTCGTGTTATGGTGGTTTAATGCCGTACCGCTGCTTGGAGCTCGGAAAGATCTTGAAGTTGATGATTTGTACCAACTGAACAGAGGAAATTCTTCGGCTTACCTCGTGCCTAAGTGGGAGAAATTATGGAATCCCGCAGTTCAAGGCATCTTTTGATTTCCAATCGTATTAAGATTTTTTCAATAGCCGTTGAAATAATTAAATCCTTACTGTTTGGATGTTTGTAATAATAGTCCTATGTAAATGTAGCTGGTAATAATTTTACTTTAGAGTATAAAAAGCGGCTAGAAGTTATAAAAAAGAAGGTGCAACCAGAACTTAAAAATGGACTGTCTAATGGAGGAGAAAAGACGAGTGCGCCGAGTTCTGAGTCTGTAAAGTGTGTACACTACTGGATTCATTATTTAGCACTCAGTGCAGTCTGAAAATGTGGGGCGAGAGCCACTGACATCTTTACTACTATTTGAGTAGGATTATGGGCAGTAATATAAAGTTTCGCGCTACAGTTTTTGTCGGAACTGTAAACATTTTGGGCCTGTATGATAGAAAAAATTTGTTAATTTCACCGTTTTAAGAAATGATTGACGAAAGGAAATGCAGCGTTTATCAGTTCGCTTTTCAGGACAAATGAAAAAATACTTGAACCGCCATCTATTGTTTGGCGTCTTTTCCTCATGTTCAAGTATGAAATATTAACTGCAACGTGCACGAAAATTATGTCAGATTTACTGCAGTTTGCATCTCCGTTCCTACTGAAGTAAACTTTAAAATTTACCTAAACTATTAATCTAAATGGTTCTCGCTGTTGGTTTAAAGTGTTAATCATTCTTTCATTTTACAGTCAAATGATTGGTTTTGTATCGAATGAGGGAGCACCAATGTGGAAGGGTGTAGCTTTTTCAATTGCAATGTTTGCTGCCTCGGAACTTCGTTCTTTTCTAATTAATTATTATTTTTTCCTTATGTTTCGAACTGGCATCAAGATTCAAACAACTTTAACTGGTGCTGTATACAAAAAGGTACATAGTAATTTTTGGCGTGAAGTAGGGTTTTTAGTTTTTTGTTTCTTTCTTCTCAATGTTTTTCATTTAATAAAACGTTTAGACACTGAAGCTATCGAATGAAGCAAGACGGCAAAAAACTGTCGGAGAGATCGTTAACCTAATGGCTATTGATGTTGATCGGTTTCAGCTAGTCACGCCTCAAATCCAACAATTCTGGTCGTGCCCCTTTCAGGTATCTTCATTGCGTGACTCAGCGAAGTCTTAGATAAAGATTTAAAAGACTTTAGAATAAAAGTAGATTCTAAGAATATCACTGTAACTAAATTCTTTCTTTCTGCGTGTAATATTGCTTGCTGTTTAAGATTACTCTGGCTCTGATTTACTTGTTCTATACGCTCGGTGCCTCAGCAGCTTGTGGAGTAGGGATTATGATTCTGTTTCTTCCGCTGAACATTGTTGTCTCTTTGATTGTAAAAAAATGGCAGGTAAAAATTATCTTTAGCGACTTTATTCACGCAGTGTTGTAGAAGCTACATAAGGCAGGAAGACTCTACCCATAACTTTAAAATGCAGATTTTTTGAAGAGAAACCCGGGAGAAATCCACTATTTAAATTAAAATTGAAGTCATTGTGAAGTGAAGCTTAGCTTCTAGAGGTTGTAGATAACGTTGTTGAAATGATCGGCATTGCATGTAACACGAGGTGTACAGAGTTCTCTATTAATATCCTCGCCTTTTAGAAACCTGTAATGAATCTTACAGTTTAAAGTTTATTCTTCCGGAAACGCAGTTTTTTAAGGATAATTATTAAAGGTTGTTTCGTTGAG